TAAGTGTTGCAGCAGTAGAACATAGTGTTGAGGGGAAAAAAATGGTTGGTTACTATAGCAATTGTTTTAATTCTTTATCAAAAGCACTTTCCAGTACCCTGTCATACAAATGTTATATAATACTATGCTGCATCTATTAATGTTGCTTTCCTATAGGTTAAACCATCCCTTTGCTCCCATTCTTCCTGCAAAGTTCTGAATGTGGAGGAATAGTAAATTTAAAGATTTATTGATAATAAATTTCTTACTAAGAGGACCTGATGATCTTGTAGTGTAGGTGGCTTTCCTTTGCCATTCCCCCTCCCTAACCCCCCGCCCTGAAACCCCAGAGCAGAGTTCAGTTTTGGACATTGCTGTGGTAGAACTGAGGTCTAAAAAAAACCTGAATCTTTCCTACCATTCTGTTCCTTGCTTCCTCAAAGAATTTTTCATAAATGTGAAGTACTTTTAATTAAGCTTTTGAATTAGTTGCTCAGTGGATGTTTCTTTCCAACTCCAGAGTGTTTGGTGCTCTATCCAGATAGAGGGAAACCATCTGAGATAATGCTGAGATTCCAAACGTTAAATCTAGGTACGTTTTCAAGACAGATTATATTTAAGCAGGGAAAAAGCATTTACAATTTGCATTTCTCTTGCTCTTGATATCACAATTACTGCATTGTACTTCAAGAGATTAGAAAATACTTTCTTCTGTTTCTGGAAGCTGCAAATAAGTTCATCTCTGGGGCAAAATTCTTTTCTCCGTCTTCCACACCCCCCAGCCTCTGTAGCGGAAGCTCAATAACATGTACGATTTACCAAAAAAATGTATGGGGCATTTGAGAGGTTTGCTTAGAGGAACAGGTTGGAAAAAAACAGCCTTTTGTTTTCCTAGTTCCAGAGCCTAGTTTGAAGTTGTCCTGTGTTTTCCTCCTGACTCTTAGAGGAGAGGAACTTGTAAGGCCCCTGGCTGCTCTGTTTCAAAGAACAAGTGATACTGCTGCAGAGGGGTGCAAGATGAGCAGGTGTATTTCTGCGATCTTTTTGATATTTTTGGTAAAACGATGTGCTTCCCTTCCTTTAGTCTAAAGACTTCTGCAAGTGGCTCTTAATAGTCATTCTGAAATAGTGGAAGTGGCTATGGACACACTAGAAAGGCCAAAGGAGAAGAGCCGTATACGAAATGGAAATTTTTATGGGATTTTTCTCAAAAGTTGTAAGCGGTTGAGATGGTTGACCTAGAGCAACATCTGGAATTTCTTACAGATACTGGCTTGTGTAGATGAAAACTTCTGTGTTAATGTGCAGACATTGTTCTGTTGCTGTCTCCTATGTAGGCTTACTGCAGACTGTAAACCGTATTTTTACTTGACTATTTTGGTTTTAGTAACCACGCCCATGTCATAGTTGGCAATTACGGGAACCCCGATTGGCATTTCCAGCAGAGAGGACAAGGCCTGACTGAGCCAAGTAGCTTAGGATTGAGGCATGGTGATGGAACAGCATGGTGATTGCCATGACCTGAACTGCCAGGGTTGGTACCTGTCCTGTAGCTAAGAGACTTCAGGCTCCAGCATTGTCTGGCAAGTGCTAGGAGGCTAGGAGTAGTAATTCATGGCGGATGACTGACTTCCTCCGTGGTTTCACGGGTGGTGCAGTGATGTAAGTAATTTGCTGGTACTGTGCATTTCCGTGATGTGATTGCCCAGGGGTTTGCTTTTTTAATATGACAAATTAAGTCAAACATTAAGTATTATTAAACCTTGCTTAAAACCTGCTTAGAGGTTTTGTGAAATTGACAACTTTTCTTTAACATATGGGGGACTGTACAACGCTTTACTGCTAAATGCCGCTGAGGGCTGGCTTAGTGTTTCAGCCTTGTGCAAGTGGCTGCAGACTGCTTTTGCTATGTCTCTTACACCACGGAGAGAGAATGAACAAGCTCTTTGGTCCAGTAAACAGCTGCATGGTATTACAGTGATGCATACCACATACTCCTCAGCTTCCAAATGCTTGTGCACCAAATCTGTTCCAACACATGACTAAGATGTATAATTTCTAGTAGAGAATTTCTCAACTGCTTTTTTTTTTTTTTAACACTATGGGGAAAAAAAAAGCAATTACTGTTTTTTAATGTATGTTTAAAACATAATTCAGTTAAACCCCAGCTAGTCATTCGTCTCTCCTGATGTGTTTTGCAAGGACCCCTCAGCTTCTTTCTTTTCAGTCTAGTTCTGTCTAGCAAAACAAGAAATAAAACATTTCTTGTGAGGGTTGATCAGATATTATGGTGATTATGTGAACAACAGAGTCTACAAATAAATATTTTATGCATATGTGTATATTAGATTAGTACCCATGTGCAAATGTGCATGCATTATTTGCACTAGTTATATAAAGACTGCCACATTTGCTTTTGGGATTCTTTGCAGAAATCATCCCTTCTGTTAATTGGCCACCTCACATGGAAATGAATTTTTGCCCATATTTACTGGTTTTGATTCTGTTAAAAGCATAGGGTTGTAGAGGCTCTTGAGGGTAAGTAGAACTTTGCTTAATAATAGTAATAAAAGAAAGAAGTTTTCCAAGCATACTTCAGCAATCTTCTTTTTCTGAACAACAACATGAATGTGTAGGAATTTGGCAAGTTATCAAGCCACAGAGTCCACCACTGTGCTTGAGAGATGGATGTCCTCTGTTACGTTGTCTCCATATCCTGCTTGCTTTTGGTGCACGGGATGGGTACATTGTGTGGCCAGAGCCCAGCAAACCCCTGTGCTGCCCTGCTCCCTCGGGAAAGGCATATCCTCTGGCTTCTGGCATCAGTGTGATTCGCGGGGGAAGAGTCTTAAGTTCAGGCAAACTGATTTCCTAGGCTCCCTCTGTTCAGCGGGGAAAAGATAAAGTGGCTCAGAGCAATAGCTAAATTTTGAATCATTCTTGAATATGGGCTTTGCACTCAGCTTTTTCCACTGCAGAGTTCTGTGAGGCTTAGGGATCTGTGGGGGAGAGGAAATGGGAGGTTAGGGGACAAGACTGAACGAGTGACAGTCTGAATCTCTGGTAACAACCTCTGGTAACAGCCTAGTACCTGGCAGGCTGCATAATTAGTGTGGTAATCTCCTAGATGGTCTCTAATAGTAAAGGCAATGCATGCACATGTGCAGTGAGAAAATGTGGGACAACTTGTTTTAAAAAAAAAAAAAATAGAAAAACAACATCAGAGAAGTGCAGAGGAAGATAGCCTTTACTCTGGGTTACTCTTCCTGTGCTTATGTGTATGTGTGTCAGTCTTCTAAGTTGTTTGAACATAGTGTTAATATTTGTATATCCTGCGTCTTGAGTAATGTTTTTGAGACCTTGTACCCTAGAAATGATTGGCAAGCTAACCTCTAAGTATAGATTAGCTTGTACCAGCAAGTCTATTCTAATGCCAATAGAATTTATAGCAGTTCCCGAAAGGAAACAAACTGTACTAGGAGCAGGGTTTTTCTTTCTTTGACTAGAGAAGTGTTGACCAGTAAGATGTGAAGCAGAAGAAATGTCGTGGGGCAAGAAATCGAGTTATGAAGATGCAGCTAGCAACATTGTCTTGAGTGGATATAAGCAGAGCACAGGCAGAGACTTAGATGTGACATAAGCTGAGAATGATATGAGACTGTGAATCAGAACATGTTCTCTCCTGGATGGTTAGTTTCCTGCTTGCAAGCTAGATCAAACTTACTGAAATAGTTCATTCGGTTTGTAGTCTGCTCCTTGCTGTCCCCTTTCTCTGAATCCCATAGTCCCTTGTCAGGCAATCAAAGCATATCCGTTGCTTAAGTGAAATGGTATTCTGTTTCATGTGACTGGACGTGTGTCTGGAATGCAATGGGAGGTGCAGGCATTTTGGTGAAGTTCAGCTCTGCTGCTTTAGGTGAAAGTGTCAGAAACATACATGTGCATGTCTCTCCTGAGTCACAAGTCAAACTCACACCCAGGTTGGGAGCCCAAGTCTTTAGGAGAGTAATGTGCAAAACTTTACTGCAGGACTAAGACTGGGTATTCTGATTTTCTAGTGTGCGTGGCTCTGGTGAACTAGCAGCACTTCTTATAGGTGTGTATACTGGTTAAATATCTATTTCTGTCTGCTTATTATTTTTTTTCCTGAAGTCACTTGTTACAGGGATGGGCTGGGGGGGGACGACGGACTTTTGCCTGACAGCTTTAGATTATCAGAAAGACCCAACTATACTCTTTTTTTCCTGAAGTGAGTCGCATTTGGACTGATAACTTTCAAAAATGTTCTGTGGAGCATTTTCAGTCTTGCATGTTGCCTATGTAGCCATGCAGCTCAGAACTTGTTTGTTTGTTTAGTGATTCTCATTCTAATTTGCCTAGGGCTATTCTTAATGAACGGAAAGCAAAATATCAGATTGGAGCAAAGGGTAAAGATCTGATGACAATGTGTGGAGTCTTGTTGCATTCTGTTAGTAAAAGGCACCTTGGACTTGGTCTGAGCTGTCTTAGAAAGTAGAAAAATGGGTGAAATGGCTACTAATTTATAACATGATTCAGCAGTATAACCAAAACCTGATCCACTGTGATGTAAAAGGCTGCTCTTTGTTAAAATTGGGTAGCGGTAGAATTAACCTGGTTCATATTGATGAATACACTTTCAGAATCCCTAATATTTGCAGAGCCATGAGTTTATCTTCAAAGTTTCAGGTGTAACTAAGAATAAAAGACCCAAATGGTTGCTAGGCACACGGCTTGTATTTTGGCATTGTTCTGATTGCCCAGGTCTCGGAAAAGTAGCGTAAAAGATTAGGTAGCTATTGAATCTATGTATATTTTGATGATGTCATGTGTGCTGACCTGAAATTTTTCTTTCTGTTTCTTTTCTCTGTAGAATTTGTTGATTTCTGTTCATGACTTGTACTTAGCACTCTTTGGATTGGTATATTATAACTAATGTCAACTAAATATATTTCTCACGTATTGAGGTAAAAAACACATTTTTATGCTGTGCTTTCTTGCAGGGGCTGGTGTGTTTTTCCTTTCTTGTGCTGAAGGAGAGCAGATCAGCTTTCTGTTTGACTGCATCGTCCGTGGCATCTCCCCGACGAAAGGCCCTTTTGGTTTGCGTCCAGTCCTACCAGGTTAATATAGGAAGTATAGAGTAACCACGCAAAGCAGCAACTTGCCATGTCTAGCACTTATTGCTCTGATTGTAATAACAGCTTGCAGATTCCAAGGGCATAGAAAGTGCAAAGTGGTTTTCATTCTGAAATGTCACAGTATGAATTTACCAATTCAACGTACCCAGTTTCCCCTGCTGCTCTGGCTCATTCATGTTTCTGATGATACTGCTAACTTTAGCCTTCTCTTATTTAACAGTACTAAAAAACAGTAATTTGAATTGAGCTGAACCCTAACATTTAGTTTTAAACTTGCACAATTCAACTTGAATCCATGTCTGAATTACTATTTTGATAGTTTAATGAGCTGAAACCTGGAAAACTAACTTCTGGGGCATTTTAAGTTCATCCCAAACACTTAGGAAAAGTCCCGCCAACCTTAGAAAACTTTTGTCAGGCCTCTGGATCACATTACAGTTTTGCAGCTTGAGCTTTTTTTCTGATGTGTGAGGATTAAATTCCTTTTCCTATTTCATTACAGTGCCTGCAGCATTTACCACGTTCAGAGAGGAAATTAGATGGAATCATAGTAAGCCCTATTGCCTTTTGACTTTAGCAGATGAAGAAATGATAATAATATCGAGTTGGAAAGACTGTGCCAAACAGGGCAAGAGTGTGAAAAAGGAGATTGCAGAAAAATATCTGTGAAGTGGTGGTGGGAAGGGAATAGGCTGTAAGAATGGCAAAGGATGAGGCAGGATTTGTAGAAAATGTGCAGAGTTTCTGTTCAAGTGTTAGGCAAATAGTGATAAAACTCTGTCAAACTCTTATTGTTACAAGCATGAAGATAATCAATTGTGGGAAGGAACGTGAAGGAAAAGATTAGGTTTGGGTGTGAAATTTCTGGAAAAGAATTAGTTAAATTAAGGCAAATGCAACACATACAAGGCACATACATGTCTTTTCTTTCCCATAGTTGTAACACCAAAGTAAATAAAATAACCAAGAAGCACAGTAGGCAGTAAAACCTCATTCTTTTTGTATGATTATGTGTGCTTGCATTGAACTAAGAAGAGCGTAAAAAAACCTGAAAAACAGAAAAACCCCCAACCAACCAAACCAACCCCCCGACACTTAAAACTTTGCCAGTAAAGGCATATTTTTCTACGTTTCTAGAATTGTGTTATGCATATAGAACCCAAATCTTCCATTTAACAGAAATTTATGTCTAGAAAAATTATGCTCCCAAATTACCAAATAAGGTATTCTGTATTACTAATATATATTATTCTGTTATCTTTGCAAAATAATTGCTTTTTTTTTTTTTTGATGCATTCTCTCAGTCGTAGACTTTGAAAAATCTTTTTTAGGAGTATTTAGAAGTAAATTTGCTTTTGCATCTTACAGCTATCAGTTTGGCCCTTGTGTTTGTGCATTATTGTACTTAGGCACATACTACCTTCCCCTCCTTCTTTGAAGGAGTCTGACCTTGCTGAGTGCATGGAGCAGATGGGGGGTATATCATGGGGATTAACTGATGATTTGTAGTGAGATTTGTCTCATCTGCTTCATGGACCTACCTCTAAAATGAGATGAAGAAGAGGGATCTGTCTTGCTTGTCTCATCTGCTTCATGGACCTGCCTCTAAAATGAGATGAAGATGCGCTTAGCCACTAGATAGCACTTTGTTTCCTTGGACAGGAGCAGTGGCATCCATTCTATGTTGCATAGGGAAATGTGCTGCGGTTTTTGCAGACTCCTCTGGGGCCCCTTTCCCAGATACTTTGAGCCCTATAATTTATATTTTCCTGTATCTCTGCTGTCGTCTCTCCCAGTTTCCTGTCACCTCTTCTATGCGTGCCCCTTCACGCAAACTTTGTTTTTTATATTCTCCCCAGACATTCCTTTATTATCTCATTGAAAAGCTTGCACAGACTTGTTTAATGCACATATACGTGTTCAACACTGATGATTCATCCATAGACTAATTTTCCTTATCAATTATGCCATTACACAGAAGGTACTGTATTACTTGAAAAGACCAAGTCTCTCCCAGCTGCATACTCTGTCTGGCAAGAGTACTGAAATTCACGCAAACTGTTGAAAGTGATATGTTAAATAGGTTAATCATCTGCACACCTTAGCTAACTAGATCAAAACTTCCATGTTATGGATTGTACCCAGAAACATATAGTCAGTTACTGGTATTTGCTGAGTGCAGAGTGCTACACAGCCTTAACCGTGCTTTATGTATGCAATGTTCTGGTTTTATGTAATTTAATTTGCCTAGAAGCCTTCCTAGGAAGCAGCTTTCTCTCCACCGTTTGCCTTTTGAATTTGATTTCTTGCTTTTGGCTATGCCACTCCAACTACTTAAAGCAAACATGCTTGAATAACTCTTAAGTATTTTCAAAAAAGGAAAACACAGAGGGCATCTTTACAGAGAAAAGAACTTAATGTGGTGAGAAGAGGTTAGATTGACAGTGTTCTTGGACACCAGTACCCACAGAACAAATGCAATGTAGGGCAGTAATGCAGTCAGCATCTACTTAGTCTATCTTTGGAAAAAGGATAATGAATAAAGCCAGTGGCTCCTTATGTACAAACAGTTTAGTTAACCGTATACTAAATGGAGCACTGAAATATTTGAATATCAGCATGGAATTTATAGGAAGCGACAGAGGCAGGATTGAAGAGAAGGACTGGAAAATGACCAATTCTCTTATTTTTTTAACTCGCCATAGTGATTCTTTAAACAAGCATAAAATGCTCCGTGTCCAGAAGGAGCTTGTAAACTGCATGTGCAAGGGAAATTTGCTTAAGTGCAAGGGATGTTAGTTGCAATACACTGTTCACATCTGCGCTTCAGGAATATAGTTTTGAAAAATGTAACTTATTTCTTTGAAAGCTTGATATTCTTTTAATATGAATGTATTTGCTCATTTCTTGTATTTTATTATGTCATCTGTAAAATATACAATGAAAATACTGTGCAGTGGAACTGTTATACTTGACTGACCATTGCAAGGTATCAGAATCTATTCTGATCTCATAGCTGACCTTATTTTGAGCAGGAAGTTAGACTAGAGGCCTCTTTGAGGTCTCTTCCAACCAGAGTTATTCTGTGATTCTATGGGAGTGGCTAACAAATGAATGTGAATACTCTCACAATAAAAATAATCCCATATGTGTGCATCTAAAAGAAAATGTAAAAGGAAGAGAAGGTTAGAAGATTGTTACAGTTTACTATTGCGTGGTGCTTAGTTTTGGAGCCCTTCAGTGATGCAGAGCTGTACCAGTATACTCACTCTGGTAACTCCATTGGCAAATTGAAGGTTTTGATTTGTCAAAGGCTGCATGATCAGGTCTTAAATTTGAGGCAGATGGCACTGAGTGGGAAAGCAAAGGTAGTGTAGGTATCTGTAGACATTTTTAGGTAGCTTAGCATTTTAATAAGTGACTTCATCAAGGTCACTGGATGGATTGCTTTTTCCTCAGCTGCTAGTTGAAAAATAATTGCCGTAGTTGGCTGCTTCTGTGGTAGTGATTTTTTTTCCCCCTTTCCTTGGAGAACGTCTTTAGAAAGCAGACCAGAGAATTTTATGTTCTTGTCTTGACAGAAGTCTAGATATTGACAGAATGAGTCACTGATTGCATGGTTTGTAACCCATAATGAATTTGCATGCATGTTATTTGAGAAACGCTTGTTTTCCAGGTGTGTGTTACATTCTTCCTGTTCACTTGTAAGATTCCTCTGAAGTTCCAAACATGAACACAGCAAAAGCCTAGCAGCCTGTCAGGGATATCTTTTGTTGCATGGGCAGATCAGTACTCCGCCAATCTGGCGAAGGCTAAAGGACAGTCTTGGTCCTGCAAGCTGGAGAGACCCCAAGTGTAATGTTGATAGTCTTGATGCTCTCTTTTAATTTTGGAAGCTTTTCCAGGCTGCTCTGTGACTGACTGGAGAGTGTGCAGTGCTGCTTGCTGAGGATCTATCTGATGTTCTTTCTTTTTGTCGAAGCTTGATGCACCTTTGATCATTGCAAGACAGCTCTGTGGCTGCCTTCTGCAGTATCTGTGCCAAGTGGATCCTCCTCAGACTTTTACATCTTTTCATTCCTCCAGACATCTTACAAGGTGTGGAGATGTTAGCATGAAGGTGAGGGTCCAGGTCTAATTTGTGAATGTACCTACAGTTACAAAGGAAGACAGGGCAGATGTTCAGCCTAACTTATCTGACTTTGTTTAACACAGTAATTAACCAATGCTGCATTTGAAGGATGCATATAATTTGAGAATATCTTGGGTAGCTGTTGACTTAACTTGATATGATACGTTCTTGTTGACAGGTGCTTACCAAACAACCCTGGAGCTTTGAATCACTGTGAAACTTTATTCATATATTACCGAAGTATTCAAAATCTCCCACGATGAGCAGCTGATGTGGCTCTAATGAATATCCACCAACGTAATATAAAAATAAAATCTCCATCAGAGACGTTTTTAGTCCAGCCAAATTTCAGGCAATCCTTCTGCTTTGCCCCAAAGCAGTGTTTAAGGAGATTTCAAAGACTGCCTTGCAGAAAAGGTTTTCCTTCATAGGAAGGGATGCATTTCTGTTTTGGAAATAATAAAGTGCTTCCTTAATTGAAAGGCCTGAGCAAATCTGATTGCCTAGATTCTATAGGACTAAATCACATCAGAGGGTAGATTTGTCTCCAGTTTGGGAAATGAAGGTACTAATTGCACTTACAGTTGCTGGAGCTGCTGTAGGATGTTGTGTGGGCTGGAGCTGTCTGAACTTCCTTGGGCAGCTGTCTCAGTACTGGTCATGCTGCTGCTATCCTGCTGAGTTAGTGATATGGCAGATTATTGCATATTTGTTTAGAGGCTTTGTATTGTGCGTGTACAAAGCGTAGCATGATGCCAGCAAATCCATCTTTACTGTTGACAAAAACATCATCGTCACTGATTTTTATTAGGCCTTATTTCTACACAGATGACAGGAGGTTATAGGTTCTGTTCTCCAAAAGGTGTAGGCCAGTGACTTCAGTCCTTAGTCTGCTCTTGTAGCAGAATATCGTGATGAGCACTGGATAATCTGTGTCTGAAAATGTTGGAATAAGAATTTGCTGCTTTTGTGGGAGTGATATTGTACATGTTTTCCATAGAGTCTTACTTTTTTGCATAGAAGATTAGATGATAAATAGCTTTATTCTTTTAAAGTTCAGGGTGAAACAAAGAGTAAGACTACAGCAAGACTGATGAACAATTACTTTTAGTATTTGCCTAAGACTTTAAGTCTATGTACATATGGCAGGCTTTGAAGTTGTTTCTTCAGGTGTCTCCCAGTGCTTGCTGAGAAAGGGTTCTTCTAGTCAGTCTGTTTTCCATAAGACTGGGCAATGAGAGGTCACAGCATGTAACTATGAGCACAGTTTTCAGACAGCAGTTTCTGTTTCATGAGCTACATGGCAGGGAAAGGGTATCTACCTCCTGTCAAAGGAGATCCTAAAGGGGATGTTTAACAAAACAGTTGTCAGACCTATGTGACAAAGAGAAGACAAATGCATGGAGATTCCCTGTCATTAGGTGAAACCTGTTGCGCTGGGTAGCTGTGTATTAGCTGATAGGGAAGTTAGTATTGCTGGCAGTAACAACTGAGTATGTGTAATGCAGAACTTTCTCATTTGCTTTCTCTTCCCCTGCCCCCTCCTTCCTGCCTTGTATTTTATTACAGGCCAGTTTTGCAGGATTGGTTGCCTGACCTTTTTTTTTTTTTTTTGTTAGTTGCAATATCTTTTTTGATTTGCAAGAGGGATATCAGTTACTAAAAAAAACTAATAGTTGCATATGTGCCCTAGTAACATTTAAAAAAAACTATATGCAATCCTATTTCAGAGGAAAGTGGAAGATCTTTCCTATTAACAGCTTTTTGTTGTGAGAAGGGTTGGTGTCTGTTGCATCTTGGTTTGACTTATTTGTTGATCTTTTATGCCAGCTGTATACTGGGAGTGTTTCTAAAACATCTTTGTTGAAACTTTTTGGACTTGAGGGCATTTAACTAGATACAGCAGAGGTAATTGGAGCAGAGGACAATCTGAAATAGGTTCAAGTAGCAGCCTGTAACACTGTATGCCACTGGGCAGATCCTCGCTTAGACCTGTCTGGGTTGCTCTGTAGGTGCTGGTGGCCAAATCTTGAGTCTTCCTTTGGCAAAGGTCCATATGGAAGCGATGGGGGTTTCATTTGAGTAAGCGCTTACACAGGTTGGAGCTAGTGAGTGCTTAGTATGAGTTGTATTGCAGGGGAAGTAAGGGTTTAATATGGAGATAATCCATATCAAACAGTCCTTTTCTGTTTTGGAGGTTAGATTTGGAGAGTGTAAGACATCAAGCAACTATGAGGTCACTGTTTGGGCTGGGAAACACAGAGGTCACGGACGCTGTTTGTCACAGGCTGTGATGGGCAAAGTTACCCTGTCCTTGCTACAAAATCTTTAACTTTCGGTATGTGCTGCTATTTCAGGACCGTGTATAGTATGTCTGGCTTGTGCTCCTAACCTCATCCAGACTGATGAGAAAGATGAAAAACCCCTCTATGTGGGGAAGAAAGCTCAGCATTGTCACTTAGGTTCTTGTGAAGCGCTCAGATCTATCCAGGGTAGTTCAGAAAGTTAATGGGGTCAGGGAGGAGAGATGTGGCAGCTTGTTTCTCAGGTAGTTAATAATGTAGGGATTCTCCTAGAGCTTCAGATCACGTGGAAAAGCTGCTTCTCCTGACTGAGCTTGCTGACCGAGCTTGCTTTGACTGCTGTGTGGAGGTGAATGTTTACCCTCACGTGTTGACAACAGTAAACTCAAGTCTTTTAAAATGAAAAGACATGGGTTGAAAATTAAACTGTTTTCAGTATTTCAGCTGGTTATTATTGTAATGACTCAGACAGAGCAATGTATCTGTGTTCACTGCTCCCCCCCCCCTTTTTTTTTTTTTTTTAACTCTTGTTAAATGATTCAGTGATTAAATGATTTTTGTGGTATGCCTTTACTACTAGGTTGATCAGATACACAAAAGTGGCAGTTGTGAGGAAGCTGGTCTATTTTTTGTCTGTCATGAATTCCTGTCTGTGTATAATTATATGGACTACTGAAACTTCTAATAGCGAGCAAGTTAGCAGACCATATCCTTTGCAACTGCCGAACGTGGCACGCTTGTCAATGCTGTTGCAATAATCTGTAAGATTCCTCTTGGGATGATAGTGATGATTTCTTTCAACATCTGCTTTTACTGTTGTGCCTTGTTGGAAACCAAATGGTTTAGAGGAAACAGGCCTGTTTCCCGCCGAAAGTTCTTCTACATTCTGTACAACTTTTGATCTTTCTCTTCGTAGTGAAATGGAAGGAGCTTCTTTTGGTGAAGCAATTTTAGCTGAAATGGCAAAACCACTGAAATGTATTGTAGAGAAAAATTCTCTATAATACATTTACATGATTTTTATCATTCTAATTTTAATCTTATATTAAATGGGAAAATAGAGACCCACTAGGGGTTTATTTACTCTGTGACTTCTGATATTAATCAAACATTAAAGTGATGTCTTTGTAAATAGATGATCTGGATCGGTTATGAGGATATCAAATAGTTTAACCACTGTGACTCCAGTTTTATTATGTAGATTTGCACACTTGTAGGATGTGGTCTTTCTTAATGATAAAATTCCCACTGAGATCAGTGAAGTCAGGACTCCTTCTGCAGTTCACATGTTATTACCTTTTTCTGCTCTACACCTGATAGGTGGTAGTTACCCTTGTACCTGTTGCCTTGAGTGCTGTGGTGTTCAGGGTTCTGTCCCTGATGGTGACTCATACAGACTTTGGCTATAAGCTCCAAAAGTCTGTGACACTTAGGACTCTGATTGTGTAGCATCTCTCTGGGATGTGCTGTAAGGCAGACTGTCCTATACGTTTTCTGATCAAGATTTCCCTCTTCTGTAATCGAAGACCTAAAATAAGAATGCACAGGGGAATACATCTTTTTTTTCCCCTCTTCTTTTTACGTGTCTTCCATGTCCCTTCTTTTTATTTATTTATTTTCTGTTCCTTTTTAAAGATCCAAGTACAAATCCAGCTTATTCAGAAGAAAGATTGGCTCATGAAGCTTTGCAATTAGAGAAGCGCTTGAGCTTGCTGTCCCATACAAGTCGCCAGGGCAGTGGAGGTAAGAAATATCTTTAAAGCAAAAAAGATAAATGGCATTTCCCTCCTTCCCAGGCTGTAGGATGTTTATATATATAAATATAAAAATATTTCAAAAATATATAAAATATTTATGTTTATTATATTTATATATAAATATAGTGTGCATATATAGTGTGTATTTATATACACATATATATACAGTGGGATGCTAAGCTTAAAAGAAAATAAATGTTTAGGATATTTGATTTGGCTGCTCTTGCTTGTGGGGTAGTTTTTAACAGCGTTTTGTAAAGGCCATTGATGTGGATTGGAGGTTTTTAGCTGACAAGAGCGAGTTTTGGATCAAACATTATTAATACAGGAAAATCCTTTATTTTGTTGAATCCTGCTG